TTGAGCCTGCGTCTCACTGTCTGGAATGAGGACAAACACAGCACAGGATGTGGGTGGTGGACAGGTTGTAGCAGGGGTCAGGTAAAAGGCAACTGTGACATGTAGTAAAGTGAATGGGAATAAGGTGTAAGGTGCAGAACTTCTTTGCAGCACATGGAATATGTACATAATATCTACTTTCATTCTTTCTTTAAAAAAAAATACAGTAGTCGATCAGGTTCAGAATAGAACTTGTGTTATCTAAGTGATTCAGGACTCTGGACAGTCCATCAAGAGAGCAGTAGTTTGACCAGCCTTTAATTTTTGTTGTTGCTGTTTTGCTTTATTTGAATTGAGGGTCAAACTCTAGCCCTGGAATAAAGGGGAAACTCTGCAGTGGAGATATACTGTAGAAGATAAGAGGCTCTGAGTAATAGGATACGAGGGTGACTAATTTCAGGGAACAACTGAAGAGGAAGAAGGAACATTAGGAAGTAGCAGGAGATAGAGCCTGATGGTTGTTATCAGTCACCTTATTCACAGGGGCTGGAATAGTCCTCAACTGTCCTACTGCTGTGATGGCTTCATGTCCCATTCCTCCACCCAGAGGCTCCCTGTATTATAGCTCCGGTGCATTGGCCTATCCACACTTAACTAAACTTGCAGCCTGACTTGGATGGGACTCAGGAGCAGAGGGACAAAGCTTCAACCTTTGCATAACCTTTGAGGACACCTTCTCTACTTTGGAGTAGACTTGGGTTTACCACGCCACTTTCTTTCATCCTCTGTTGCCGAGCCCAGTGCCAGTTGATACGTCATCAGGCCTGTGCCTTTTTTAAACACTTGGACAACCACACTCATTTCATTCTGCTCTTGGTGTTGTTCATTAGGAAGTAGCAGGAGATAGAGCCTGATGGTTGTTATCAGTCACCTTATTCACAGGGGCTGGAATAGTCCTCAGCTGTCCTACTGCTGTGATGGCTTCATGTCCCATTCCTCCACCCAGAGGCTCCCTGTATTATAGCTCCGGTGCATTGGCCTGTCCACACTTAACTAAACTTGCAGCCTGACTTGGATGAGACTCAGGAGCAGAGGGACAAAGCTTCAACCTTTGCATAACCTTTGAGGACACCTTCTCTACTTTGGAGTAGCCTTGGGTTTACCACGCCACTTTCTTTCATCCTCTGTTGCCGAGCCCAGTGCCAGTTGATACGTCATCCGGCCTGTGCCTTTTTTAAACACTTGGACAACCACACTCATTTCATTCTGCTCTTGGTGTTGTGAGGCACCCTCCCTTAAGAATGCACTTACACACCACTCGTGCAGAAAAGGGCAGTTTATTCACTCTAGCTGGCCAGCGACTGTCTCTCAAGGAGCTACCAAGGGAGAATGGCCATGGGCCTTGGTCTTGTTGGGTTTTTAAAGGCAAAAACATCCCATTGGCACACGGGTTTATCGAGGTGCACAAAGCAAGCTAGGTAGCTAGGTTACAGAAGCCAAAAGTGAGCCATTAGAACAATCATGCATACAAATTTTCATTGTGTACAGTTCCTGTTCCCATGTAATAGTTCACTGTGTATATCTCCTGTTTCTATGCAACGGTGTTTGTTTCTATGAGAAGGTCAATGTTTTCTCATGCAGAAGCGGGGGTAGTCTGACAATGGGAATGGAGCAGTGCCTTCCCAAGATGGCGTTGGTATTGCTCAGGATTCTCTGTTATTGAATTGAAAGCAGTCACAGCCAGGGGGGTCATCCGGGATGGGGTGCGGCAGAGGGTGTGGTAAATTCCAGGAACTAAGTCATTGTGTCAAGTCAGACAGTGGGTAGAATGGAGTTACTTGGGTTAAGCAAGCAATTCCACAGAAGCAGATAGTGTACGTTGTAAGGGTGTAGGGAGCTCTATTTCATTGGCACCTATGAGCATTTGCCTTTGCAACCCAGCTCCAGATGGAGCTCTGATACTGGAAGAGCCTTGCTTGGTTACATCGTTCTTAGCTCCTCTAGGGCCAGGTGAATTGTCATAAGTTTACAAGGGACGTTTGGCATCCCTGTGGCTAGAAAATCTCTCACCTGCCTTAGAACTGCACAAGAGGACCTGTATCCTCTGGAGGTCCAGCCACTGTTCAAAGTCAGTGTGACCTCATGATTGCCAGATGGGCATCTTCTACATTTCCACATTCTCCCGTGCTGAAGAGAGAAAGTGTCAATGCTTTGTGACATCAAATTCTAACAAAAACTAATTAACTTACGAGTCGGTACCTGTTCTCTCCCTCTCACCTTCTGCCTCCCTCTCTTCGTCCCTCCTGCTTCCCTTCCTCTCCCTTCTTTCACTCCTCCTTATCTCTCCCTCTCTCTCCTTCTCTCCTTCTATATCTCCCTCCTCCCCCACCCCCACCCTTCTCAAGCCTAGAAACATAGAACAGTAGCTCTTGTGTGTTGAATGTAGGAGGCTTCTTACTTTATTCTTCTCCAATATTGTATTGGCTATTCATGGTTTTTTGTTTGTTCATTTGTTTGTTTTTTGCCTTTCTGTGTAAATAACTTGCTGGGATTTTTATTGGGATTTCACTGAATTTATAGATCAACTTAGGAGGAACTGACATCTGACAATATTGAGTCTTCCTATCTAGAACATAAACTATCTCTCCTTTTATTTAGTTCTTTTATTTCTTTCTCCTTACAGTCTTTTTTCCCACACTCTCAATTTTTTTCCACACTCTCAGCTTTACCAACTAGCTCTACCTGAGAAGACATTACATGTTCAATGAGAAGATATTTTTGCCATATCAAGTATTCTTGTTTGTATTTTGGAAAATGTAGTTCCATTTCCATGGCAAATACCCCAGTGTCTCCTGATAACGGCCACTGAAGCTCAGCTCTGGCTTCTAGAATAGTCAGGCTATTCAGTCACAGAACACTAAGCAAATGTATGATCCTAGAACACAGAAGATGGTGACTGAGTTTTTGGCTTCAGTATACAGATATATATAGACACCTGTAATTACCAGTTGAGTCAACTAAATCTTTAATACTGCATTAGCTATTTCTTCATCAAATGAAAACTTCAACAATTGTGAAATCTAAGAATACTATTGTATTACAGGGGGAAAAAAGACAAGAAGTTGTTAAGAATACTTGTCATGCATCAGACAAATTTAGGCCCTAGCCCCAGCTCTGCCACTAACTAGCTTTATAGCTTTTATTAAGTTACTTAAAGTCTCTGTCTCTAAGCCTCAATTTTGTCATTTATAAAATGAGAATTATGGGAGTATCTATGTAGGGAGGTGAGGAGAGATGTAAAGTGGTTAGTTCATTACCCATAAAACTATAAGCACCAAAAATATTTGGAAACAAATAGAGATCAGTGAGTGAATAAAATGATTTGTGAAAGGAACATTATTTTAAGACATACAGTATTTTAATGCACAGTGTTCTAAAATCCTTAAGCAGACTCTGTCATATAAACTGTATTTCCAACACTTATTAAAATGACTGACACATACGAGTAGGTTCTCAAAAAGTCTTTCTTGAATAAATGTAGGTACAGCCTGAAACAATAATATCTCATTTTGGTGTAATTTATTATTTTTACAGGGTATTTTCTCATATATTTCCTCATTTTATATACATAAAGAAATGTTGGTACCAAATAAAGCAAAGTAAAACCAAACAAACAGACAAAAACCTGTAACTCAACAATAACAGAGTTTAAAATAACAGAGCTTCTGTACGTGACTGCTCGTAGCAGCCTTATTCATAACAGCCAAAAAAGTGGAAACAACCCAAATGTCTGATAAATGGATAAAGAAAATATGGTGCATTTATACAATGGACTATTCCATGGCCACAAAACATAGTGAAGTACTGATACATGCTATACTGAAAACATTATGCTATGTGAAAGAAGTCAGACACAAAAGGCCATTTATTATATAATCTTATTTAAATGAAATGTCCAGAACAGACAAATCCACAGAGACAGAAGGTAGATTAGTGGTTGCCAGTGGCTGGGAGAAGAAGGGAATGGGAATGACTGCTGGTGGGTACAGAGTTTCTCTGAGGCGGTGAAAATTTCTAGAATTAGTAGTGATGAATGCACAACTCTGAGAATATACTAAAAACCAATGGAGAAACTGACGCTTGGAAATTACACAACTAGTAAATGGTACAAAGTAAATGATCTTTCATTCTATTATTCTAAGCTTCAGGTCTTTCTCTCTCTTATTACACAGCACATTTTTGTCTGTTTTGTTTTGCTTTTATTTTCTACATTTTATGTTTTTAATTTATTTTTTAATTGACATGTATTGATTGTACATATTTATGAGGAAAAGAGTTACATTTTAATGCATGTATACAAGTGTCATGATCAAATCAGGGTAATCAGTACATTCATATTGTAAAAATTTATCATTTCTTTGTGATGAGAATATTTGAGTTTCTCTCTTCTGGACATTTGAGACCATACAATAAATTATTGTTAATTATAGAGGCCTAATAAAAAGTTTGGCTGAAAAAGTTCTAAGATTTTTTCTAATTCTAATGCCTGATCAACCTACTGTTTTCTAAACAGGAAATCGAGGAATGCAAGAATTACCTTTTGCATTTCAAAAACCCACCTTTTTCCTGGAGGGGTATGGGGTGCTTCACATTAGACAGATGAGACCTTTCAATACTGAGCAGTCTTTCCTCATCCTCACCAGTGTCCACCAGTTTTGTTTTTTTTTTTTTACTCCTGATAAAATTAGAGTTTGAGGAATATTTGGGGCTCGTTGATCCAAATATTTCATTTCAAGTGAGGAAATTGAAGCCTGCTACACTGATGACAGGCCTAAGGATACACGACACAGAGCCAGGACTGGAAGAACTGAGCTGGCATTTCAGTTTCCCATCCTAAATCCCATGCCCTTTGCCCTAGTCTAAGATACTTCAAAAAAAAAATCACAAACTTGAAAGGGCTCCTTTCTCATGTTGCCAGCAGTATCTAGACTCTCCTGCACGGGAAGACAAAACCACCAACTCTACCCACTGCTAGTCCTTTTAAGAGGCAGCTTGGCAGGGTTTGTGTATGGGCTGCAGGTGTCTGGTGAACACCGTGCATTTGTAGCACAGAAGTAAGCAGCTGTGTCTGAAACCTGGGAAGCCATGATGGACAGAGAACTGCTTTTGGTGGAGATGTCTAGCGTGGCTCTCAGTCTTCCACTGTGTTTCTCTCTTTCATTTGAACGTATTAGAATTAGCAGGGCAGGGCCTCTACCTGAATCTTGTCTATACCACTGTAAGTTGTCTGTACTCATTTTATAACTGCAGTTCATGGTGGCATTGTCACCCTCCTGGATGCTCAGGATCTGAGGATTCCCTTCTTGTTGGCTGTTCACCCCTAGGCAGAAACACAGTCCAGAGGCCAGAAGTCAGTCATTACAGGTTCAAATTACATTCCCAAATTAACAAGAAGACTTTACCCTTCAGTCTTGTGGGCTCTGAACTTTTGGGTCCCTGTTCCCATCACCAGTAGCCCCAACTCACTGGCCAATTGAAGCCACAGAATCACCAAAGCCCTCCCCAGGAGGTTCTCCATTCTTCTTCCTTGTTGGGATCACAGAAGACTCAGCTCTGGGTCCTGAAATGGCACCAGGTTCCTCAGTCAAAAGAGCTAGTTCTTTTAGTGGGTACACATCTAGTCCTGCTGCCTCCCAGAGTCTCAGGTTTCTTACCTAGTCAGGCAGAGGCAAGCTCAAGCCTTTGTTCTGAACACACCCACATCTGATGTAAAACCAAGTGAGTATGCAAGAAGGAGCACTGCCATCCTGCGGTGGCCACATCCTCCTGCTGGTGGAATGTGCTCTGGAGTAGGGAGGATGCCCAGAGCCAATTCAAAAGAAATTACAAAACTGCTCCTTTCTCTACCTTTATTGAACTCTAGTTCTGGCTTATAGTAAAAACAGACACAGTTTAATTCAGGTAACAACTCCAGGAAGAAAGTATGTTGGCGCCCATACTTACAGAATACCTCTGAGAGCACTGTTAGGTTTCCTACAGTTACCACAACTTCTAATAATAGGTCTATGAGCTTCCTTTAAAAAAAATATTGCTCAGTGCTGGAATGAGATTATTAACAAGTCAGGGTTCTTACTGGTGAGCAACAAAAACTGACTGACTGAATTAAGTATAAAAGGAAAAAATTAATGAAGATTTTGTTTGTCCCAAAATCACCAATAAAGTCAAAGAACTGGACTCAAAAGCTGTCAAGTCAGGAACAATACAGAAAATCACTCTGGAGAACTATTCCTCTGAATATCCCACTGGTTCATGTTCTGAGCTCCAGATACTGAAGGCTGTGCCTGCAAGGCTGCTCATCCAGAACAATGTATGCAGCTGCAATTCCACTGCCCTGCTGCCCTGCAAACTCTCATTTCCATCTTGTTGCAATGACCACCACTCCCAAAAAAGAAGTTCTTAATATTTCCTGTTTTGCATAAGTAACTCCTGAATCATGTTTGGAAACAATGCATCTGATGGTTGGAGCCCAAGTCATATGCCCTCCCCTATCTGTACAGTGAACTGGATATGAGTGTATTCATTTGCTAAGGCTGCTATAACAAAATACCAAATTAGGTGGATTAAGCAACAGGATATTATATTAGAAAGTTAGGTAAAAACCAGAGAGAATATCATGGCTCTTCTCTGGACCATTCAGCCCAATAGAAAGAAGAAGCAAGACAAAGGTTTAATGCACTGTGATGGGTGCCAGAATAAACAATGTATAGCATAGTTATTAAAAAGGGGGTGAGATGTAGCTCCATAAGTCATGAACTTAAAACATAAGAGGCCATTTGAGCTGGAAATTGAACAATAAGCGAGTAAAACAGTAACCCTCACAAAAATTCAAGGACTCATCAACTCAGTGAAGTTTTGCCCAGAGAATGTTGAGATATTTCCTCTAAGGAAAAAGACTTGTTTCTGGACCCCACAGACAGTGGCACAACATTTGGTAGACCATTTTGAATTTTTGAAGTGACATATGCCACAGGTGGATGTGCTAACGTGGCCTATTTACAGAGTCATGTGTAAAGCTGCCAGAGAAGCAAAAGGCTCTACAGCTAGTGCAGGCTTCAGAGCAATCTCCTACTGCACTGGTCTTGTGATCCAGCAGATCCAACAATGATACTTGAAGTTCCCATGTTAAATAGGAATGCTGTGTGGAGACTCTGGGAAACACCAATGGAAAAATCACAGCATAGCCTCCTATACTTGCGGTGAATATGTTGTCTTTTCTTTAAATAACTGTTCTTTTGAGAAAGAGCTTCTGGCTTGGTAATTGATCTTGGTGAAGTCTGAATATCTGATTTAGGAAAATTAGTGACCATACATACTGACCTTTCACCATGAACTGAGTGTTGTCTGTCCTACCTAGCCATAATGTTGGGCATGTCCAGGAGTAATCTATGATGAAGTGGAAATGGTAAATAAGAGATCACATCAGCAGATCCAGAATGTACAATTTAGTTGCATGAGTAGGTGGCTTGGATTCCTTGGACACCAAATAATCTTGTATTGTCACCTCTACACTAATTCATGCCTATAGCCTCCTGGGGAGTTCTTTACAAAAAAAAAAAATTAAGCCTACTTTTTATATGGATTTGCACATTATACTGGCAGCACACAAAACTAGCTCTGCAACCGCACTGAAGAACAATTGTGAAAGAAAATCCCTCCAGTGGGCAAAATGTCAAGTGGTACATTTTGGTTGTCCAGATCATCTGGAGTGAGAGGTGGCCAGAAGTGCTGATCTACATTGATTCCTGAGCAATTGCTAATGGTTTGGCTGGATGGTAAGAAACTTGTTAAGAAACAGAATTGGAAAATTGATGACAAGGAAATCTAAGGAAGAGGTGTCTGGATGGACCTCTCACGATCGGCACAGACTATCAAGATAATTATGCTCCATGTGAATATTGACCAAGGGAAAACCACTGCAGTGAAAGCTCTTATAATGGACAAAATGATGCACTTCAGGGATATATCCATATTTTTCCCCACCTACCCTAGTGCTTACTCAATGATCCTATGAACAAAGTGGCCTTCTTGAGGAATGAAAGCTATGCATGACCTCAACATCATGGAATTTAACTTACCAAGGCTGACTTAGCTAATGTTACTGCTGAGTACCTAATACGTCAGCCACAGAAACTGAGCTCCTCATGTAGTGCCATTCCCCAGGGGGACAGGCCAGACACCTGGTGACAGATTGGTTGCACTGAACCTCTTCTATCATGAACATGGCTAAGATTTGTCCTTACTGGAATAGACCCATATGCTTGCTTATGGATCCATATGGATTTGTCTTCCTTGCTTATGATATGTCTGCTGACATCATCATGAACTCACAGAATGCCTAATCTACCACTAAGATATTTCCCATAGCATTTCTTTTGAGAACTAAACAATTTGAATAGCAAGGGATTACAACAGTGGGCACATGCTCATGGAATTAATTAGTCTTAATACATAACCCATCATCCACAAGTGGCTGGCCTGTTGAAATGTGGAATTGATTCAGTTATGGCACCAGTTGAAGACACCCTGGAAAGACAGGGTTCCGTCTTACAAGATGTATCATGTTCTTTATATAAGAGACCATTATGTAATGTTGTCTCCCCCACAGCCAGAATGCATGGGTCCAGGCATCAAGGAAGTGGACTGGGAATGGATCCTCTCACTATTATTATCAGTAACACACTAGCAGAATTTCTGCTTCCTTTATTTGTAACTTTGAGCTGCATTTCTTTGAAGTCTTATTCTCTAAAAGGAGGAATGCTTCCACGAGGAGACACAACAATGGTTCCATTGAACTGGAAGATGAAACTGCCGTGTGGCCATTTTGGGCTTCATAAGTCACTGAAGCAACAAATAGAAAAAGAGGTTACTCTACAGGCTAGACTGCTACCAATTTCCTGCAGGGAATTGGGTGACTGCTATCCAATAGGTACAAAGAGAATTTGGAATCAAGAAATGTAGAAGCTTTCTATATTTTCTCTTTGCTCCTTATATGTATGTATTCCTTTGTATATGCTACCATCTTCTCTCTCTCTCGCCATATTTTATATACAAATTGCTGGAGATTAACTTTACAATTTAGTCTGTATATAAGAGCATAAACAGCGGAACTTCCTCTGAATCTTAGAAGTGATTAATATAGTCAGAGGCTCATAGACTGACTTTTACAACTATGTGTCTCTTCATTGTGGGGAAAAGATGAGAACTTCCTCACTTGTTCAAAGGACATCTTTGGATTGTTAGGTGAAAACAGAGTCATTTTATTGTTGTTTGGAAGTTCAAATGTGTGTAGAGGGTTGCATATGAAAGATAAGTAGCCAGAAGGATGGGATGATCCAGTTATCAATTTATTGCTTCTCAGTTCCAAATCCACTCTTCATTTTCATATTTGTGATACTCTGTCTGAATCCCGTAAACATTTCCCCTTTGCCAGCTAATGTGACATTAGCTTTATCAGTAGAGAGTACTAGAAGGACACTGTAGAAAGAAGAGACTCCTCTTCCTGGTTCTGGTATGTTTCAGCGCTTCTTGTCCTGCATTGCCTGGCTGGCCTGTGGAAGACCCAGTGACACTCACCTCCAACAAGGTTCAGTGACAGCCCTAAAGGTAATTTCTTGCCAAGTTTCATGAGCACCCCAAGCAAGTTCAGCAGCACTCCTTTGCCAGTTTCCTATAAATTTTGTTGGAGCCCTAGTAGGTGTTTTCCTCCTGGGCTATCAATTTCTCTGGCACCTCAGCAAATTTCTCCACGATCCAGAAGGCTACAGAAACACACTCCCAATGAGGTGTGAATCATAGCCTTCATAGGAGGGGCCTGGAGTATCCTTATTCCTGTGTGCTCCTTCTTTATGAATTCTGCCTTAAAGATGAGAACTTCCCCCTACATGTGCTATTCCTGTATTCTTCAGAGTTCTTTTTACCCATTAGTAGTTAATCCCTGATATTATTTAATAATTCTTTGTATTGTATTATCCTTGCTCAAATTACTGTGTTGTTTTTTCCTCCTGGCTGGACCCTGACTGAGATAGTAGCAGTCTATGAAATGCATGAGAGGAAAGACATTGGATGCAGAAAGCACAGCAATCACAAGCCATGAAACAGCGCGGCACTTTTAAGGAGCTGTGCATAGGTATGTGGTGATGAACACGTGTGAAAGGTATGGGGTGGTAGAGGAGTTAGAGAGGGGGGACTTCACCACTTAAGCCTAGAGAGTCCCCCTGGGCCAAGAAAAGAAATTTTTTATACTGTGCTGTATATTTTTTATTTCAAAAGTATTTTTTCTAGGTACAAGACAAAACGGCACTTTTAAGGAGCTGTGCATAGGTATGTGGTGATGAACACATGTGTGAAAGGTATGGGGTGGTAGAGGAGTTAGAGAGGGGGGACTTCACCACTTAAGCCTAGAGAGTCCCCCTGGGCCAAGAAAAGAATTTTTTTATACTGTGCTGTATATTTTTTATTTCAAAAGTATTTTTTCTAGGTACAAGACAAAATAAATACACTTACTATTTTTAAAACCAGTTTAAGCATTATAGGTAATGACAATTCTCTTGGACAAATTTTGGAGGTTAATCTATAGCTAACTGACAACTGATGATATCATATCTAAGAGGTAAACTCAATGTTCATCTCTAGAGAAAGAATGCCCCACTAGGGCCATACAGAGAACTGATAGAGAAATGTGTTCTGTAACTTATCCAGGGTTTGTGCTCTGCTTCCCTTGCAAAAGCAGTTACTGTGTCACTCAGAGCACAGTAATATGTGGCCGAGTCTTCCTCTTGAGCTGACGATTTCCTCATATGAAAGGATGCCTCACCTTTGTTAAGTTCAGCCGTGAAACCTTTGATGCTCTCTCCTGAGATATGTTTCAGGAGTAACTGGGGGCCTTGTTTTGGATACTGGACATACCAGAAGAGCACGGGACTCCCAGAATATGAGTAGTTGCACTTCAGCTGCACTGGGAACCCTTCAGAGACAGAGACGTGATCCTCAGGCTGGGTCACTGTCTGGGCTCTCGTTCCTCCTGAAACACCAATTCTGTATCAGGGAGAGCCTTCCAGATTGATGAAAGTATTTCATTAAACTGACTTTAAATCAGAAGACCATAGAAAGATAGAATAAAAAGATACTTTACTCACTGAGTGTGAATAGCATCATAAGCACTGAGATGAGGGTGAGCTGCATGTCCCAGCTGTGGGAAAGCACGAGGCTCTTTTCTGGGCATCTTTTCTGGAAACAATTCCACCACATGGACACTCTGACAGAGCTGTAGGTAAGTTACCCAGCATGTAAAGGAAAAAGCTCTTCCTCAAACCACCTGGTTGATTTCAGGCTTTCTACCAAGTTCAATTTGTGTAGCATCTCCCACTAGAGGCCAAATTTGACACTGCAGATAATCTCAGGTTTCAGGAAGCCCTTGAATTCTTAGAAAGAACTTGCTCCACAGTTATAAGACAAGGTGTAATGCTATAGGAACTGTAAAAGAGTGTTACTAAGAAGATCCTTATATCGAGCTCAATGGAACAGGATGTGGAGTCCAAACAAATGATTATAGAAATTTAGTTAAAATAAAAATGGGGAAAAGATGGTATATTTGCAAACATGTGCTATCATGAAGGGGGAGTCATTTAAAAGTTAACAAATAAATTTTGATGCCTACCTTAACAACTGTTACAAAATAATTTCCAAATGAACATAATAGCTAATAGTTTTTTAAGTAAAATAAAAGATAAGCTCTTTTTTAAAATTTAGGATAGTTATGGACTTTCTAAACATGATAGTCAGAAAGCATAAGGGAAAATATTGATAGATCACACTTCACAGAAATTAAATTTCTGTACAGTTACTTTAATGAAATGTTGAAATACCAGATCAAGTTATTTTTCATCCATCATCATTGATTGTGACCTTCCCCACAAAGGNAATGCATGAGAGGAAAGACATTGGATGCAGAAAGCACAGCAATCACAAGCCATGAAACAGCGTGGCACTTTTAAGGAGCTGTGCATAGGTATGTGGTGATGAACACGTGTGAAAGGTATGGGGTGGTAGAGGAGTTAGAGAGGGGGGACTTCACCACTTAAGCCTAGAGAGTCCCCCTGGGCCAAGAAAAGAAATTTTTTATACTGTGCTGTATATTTTTTATTTCAAAAGTATTTTTTCTAGGTACAAGACAAAATAAATACACTTACTATTTTTAAAACCAGTTTAAGCATTATAGGTAATGACAATTCTCTTGGACAAATTTTGGAGGTTAATCTATAGCTAACTGACAACTGATGATATCATATCTAAGAGGTAAACTCAATGTTCATCTCTAGAGAAAGAATGCCCCACTAGGGCCATACAGAGAACTGATAGAGAAATGTGTTCTGTAACTTATCCAGGGTTTGTGCTCTGCTTCCCTTGCAAAAGCAGTTACTGTGTCACTCAGAGCACAGTAATATGTGGCCGAGTCTTCCTCTTGAGCTGACGATTTCCTCATATGAAAGGATGCCTCACCTTTGTTAAGTTCAGCCGTGAAACCTTTGATGCTCTCTCCTGAGATATGTTTCAGGAGTAACTGGGGGCCTTGTTTTGGATACTGGACATACCAGAAGAGCACGGGACTCCCAGAATATGAGTAGTTGCACTTCAGCTGCACTGGGAACCCTTCAGAGACAGAGACGTGATCCTCAGGCTGGGTCACTGTCTGGGCTCTCGTTCCTCCTGAAACACCAATTCTGTATCAGGGAGAGCCTTCCAGATTGATGAAAGTATTTCATTAAACTGACTTTAAATCAGAAGACCATAGAAAGATAGAATAAAAAGATACTTTACTCACTGAGTGTGAATAGCATCATAAGCACTGAGATGAGGGTGAGCTGCATGTCCCAGCTGTGGGAAAGCACGAGGCTCTTTTCTGGGCATCTTTTCTGGAAACAATTCCGCCACATGGACACTCTGACAGAGCTGTAGGTAAGTTACCCAGCATGTAAAGGAAAAAGCTCTTCCTCAAACCACCTGGTTGATTTCAGGCTTTCTACCAAGTTCAATTTGTGTAGCATCTCCCACTAGAGGCCAAATTTGACACTGCAGATAATCTCAGGTTTCAGGAAGCCCTTGAATTCTTAGAAAGAACTTGCTCCACAGTTATAAGACAAGGTGTAATGCTATAGGAACTGTAAAAGAGTGTTACTAAGAAGATCCTTATATCGAGCTCAATGGAACAGGATGTGGAGTCCAAACAAATGATTATAGAAATTTAGTTAAAATAAAAATGGGGAAAAGATGGTATATTTGCAAACATGTGCTATCATGAAGGGGGAGTCATTTAAAAGTTAACAAATAAATTTTGATGCCTACCTTAACAACTGTTACAAAATAATTTCCAAATGAACATAATAGCTAATAGTTTTTTAAGTAAAATAAAAGATAAGCTCTTTTTTAAAATTTAGGATAGTTATGGACTTTCTAAACATGATAGTCAGAAAGCATAAGGGAAAATATTGATAGATCACACTTCACAGAAATTAAATTTCTGTACAGTTACTTTAATGAAATGTTGAAATACCAGATCAAGTTATTTTTCATCCATCATCATTGATTCTGACCTTCCCCACAAAGGAAGTGGCTCATTAGAATTTTAGTTGTACAAGTTAAAAAAAAAAAATAGGACATAAGCAGAGGAACAATCATTTGGTCTAAAAAGAGGGCAATTCTAGGAAGATGGTAGATGAAAAATGTCCCTGAGACCTCTGTTTTTAGCCAGGGAGCTTTCATGGCCCCTAGCCTGCCTATGCTGAGAGAGCTCAAGTGAGGAATCCCATTTTGTGGTCACATATACACATCTGGGGTCAAGCAGCAGAAAACTCCAGGATGAAGAGCAGGAATCTATAGATCATGGAGAAAGCGTGTGCTACAGAGATCAGTGGACCTCTAAAAAGGAAACTAATTCTCTTGATAAACCTCTCTTCTGGTCTCCAAATAGCTGAGAAGAAAGTAGTAGGTAGGTTGTGTCCCATCTGTACTTAAACGAGCAGAAATACAAGGAGATTCGGGAGAAAAAGATTTCCTTCTAGTCTTTCAGCAGGTGCTGGCATGGCTGCCGACATCAGTACCCAGTTGTCTGGTACACAGCTCACCACAGACACAGAAGTGTCCAGGCTTTTCAT